AGAAGGCAGAGACTGAATTGAAAGCTAAGAAAAGCAGAACATCAGGAGGAGTAACAGAGGAGATGAGTCGCGAAGGCTTACTAAAAGAGGGCCAGGGCCAGTTGCCGCGACAGCCTACCAAAGGAGGGCTAGTTGCCACGAAGGACTACCAAAATTGGGCCAGTTGCCGCGAAAGGCTACCAAAAGAGGGCCAATTGCCGCGAAGGCCTACCAAAAGTTTGTGAAGAGATGGTGAGGTGAGGTAAATGGCGATGGGATTAAGGAGGGAATGAATGATGGGATGATTGCTGGGATGAATAAGGGGATGAATGAGGGGATGATTTCTGGGATGAATGATAGGATGAGTGATAGGAAGAATGATAGAAGGGATCCTGGTATAAAACCATTTGGCTTGATGAATTACAGAAGACAGAAGAGTGATGAGAATAGGTTAAAAACACAACTGAATTAATCAAACATTCAGTGTGGCGACATGGTGCCGATTTAGATAGAAACAATGTTCTGAGGGGAATGCCTGTGACTCTTCCTAGGACAACGGGGTCATGTCCTCTGTATTTTTTTTTATTTATATTTTGCCTAAATTGTGATATATACACTAAACATAGATTGAAACTGACTGTAGCACAACATTCTAGGTCTCCCACAAACCTGCGACATGAAATCATGTGCAGAAAGAAAACAAAAAAACTTCAGATTTAAGATGAAGTGAAGCTTTTATTTACTGACAGCTGGTACTGTGAAGTGTAACATATCTTGTTAGGGCTAGGATACATTTACTTTTTATGCACATGTCACTCTGGTCACATACATAACACCAAGTTCATCAATGCTGCCAACACACTACCTGGCAGGAATCCCTCCTACAGCTTCTCCAACCCCCTACACAGAGAAGACAACTGACATTTTATTATTTAGCATTTTATTTAAAGAAAGCATTCCGCTAGTAAGGATGACAACCATTAAGAATAAGTTAAGTTCAGTGGATGGTTTATATATTCAAAACAATACTCTATATATTTTAAATTGTGTCCTAAATTATACATATAGATCTGCCCAAAGTTAAAGAAAGCTAAAATGGAGAAGAAAAAGCAGAAATATATTTGCAATCACATTACCATTTTAAAAGTCTTCCTTTTTCCAATTCTTCAGAAACACAATATTTATAAAGACTTTGACGAGCTTGGAGATAAACCTTTTGGAATCAAGTCTTATTCATTAAATATTTCTTGGTGTTCTTTTCTGGCTGAAACACAATGATGAAACACTTTGGAGCAAATATACACAGCATCAGACCAAAGCTAGAGGCCAAAATGGCAAATATCTCCACTGCAACTGTATATTTTCCAGGAGAGCTGACATATGCTGGGATGAAGGTGATCCAGACTGCACAGAATATCAACATGCTGAATGTGATCAGCTTTGCTTCATTGAAATTATCAGGTAGTTTCCGAGCAAGAACAGCCAATATAAAACAAAAAACAGCAAGAAGGCCAATATAGCCAAGTACAACCCAGAAACCAACAGCAGAGCCTAATGCACATTCTAGGATGATCTTGTCCTTATAGGTGTTTAGATTCTTAATTGGGAATGGAGGACTCAGTACTAACCACAAGGTGCAAATTATAACTTGAATCAAAGTAAGACACATTACAGTCACTCTCTGCTGAAGAGGACCAAACCATTTCATGACATTGTTACCTGGAAGTGTAGCCTTAAAGGCCATTAGAACCACAACAGTTTTCCCAAGGACACAGGAGATACAGAGAACAAAAGTGATGCCAAATGCTGTGTGTCGCAGCATGCAGGACCACTCAGAAGGTGCTCCAATGAATGTTAATGAACATAAAAAACACAGAGTCAGAGAGAAGAGCAGCAGGAAGCTCAGCTCAGAGTTGTTAGCTCTCACAATTGGAGTCGTTCTGTGATGAATGAAAACAGCGACTGCAGTAACTGTCAAAAATGCACCACTAACAGATACAGTAGCCAAAATAATTCCCAGGACTTCTCCAAAGGAAAGAAATTCAACAGGTTTTGGGATGCAGGACTTCCTTTGTGAATCGGGCCAGGACTCTTCAGGACATGAGAAGCAGTCAGGAGAATCTAAGAAAAAAAGATTAGCATATTTTCATGCCTAAGGTTTTGCATGCAAATATGCATTAAAACATTAGATTTAACCTGTGATGTTACTGATCGCTCCTTCAGGACAAGGTATACAATCATAGCAGCAGATGGGTTTTCCTTTCTGTAACACTTTACGAGTTCCTGTAGGACAACTTTGAGAGCACACTGACACTGGTACCTGAAAGAAGCACAGAGAAAATATAGTTTGTTTTGTTTAAACTGATTTCTGTTTAACATTTGGCTCATGCATTTATAACCATTTTTTTTTTCATTTGATAAACCCTTTATATTAGGCTAATTACTTTTGTGCCACCTTCCATCCAGGTCAATTTGCCATTGATATTGAACTGCTGGCCCACAGGTAGTGATGCATCATAGTAGCCAACCGTTACTGGTTCAATAACACCAGTTTCACTTTTCTGCCAATTCACAAGCTCATAGAAAGCTGTGGGATCTCCATTAACATCAAATGACACATGGTAACCATTCCTTGAAAAGTTTACTTTCTTTAATTCACTGAAAACCTGTGATATAAAAAAAGGAATCAATCATTTCTAAAGATAATGTTTTTATAGCTACTCTTTAAACTTAAATGAGGCATCCCCAAAGTCGGTTCTTGAAGGCCACTGTCTTGCAGGTTTTAGAGGTTTCCTTGCTTTGGCACAGCTGATTATGATGACTGCAGTTGAGCAAAGGTCTGCTAATCAGCTTGTAATTAAACTCAACTGTGCTGGAGCATGGAAACCTCTAAAACCTGCAGGACAGCGGCCGTCAAGGACTGACTTTGGGGATGCGTGCCTTAAATAAAAAAAAGAACAATAAAAAAACATCAGAGATTTTATTTTTCTTGACTACGGTATACCTCTTTGGGCTTTAATATAGTATGTTTGTCACACTGAGTATAGCCATTTTTTCCCTCACACACTGCATTGTGAGTGGCATGTGCTATTGCATACACAGCCTTGTATACCATGTTATTAATCCTCAACTGTGATGTTTCAGTGTATGGACTTCTGAGCGTTTTAATATCTTCTGTTCCATCACACAACATTTTGCTCAAATCAGAATCTATAAACAAAGGAAAAGGACAGGCAGTTATATTTACCAACCCACAAAACTGACAGATAATTAAATAAGATAAAATGATAAAATAAAATGCATAAAATATTTTCTAGCAATTTTATAAAAGTATCAGGAAAAGCTTTTTATCTTTGGCAACATATAATGTGACTGTTATGTTTTAGGTTAGTTAGAATTATAAAAAATTCTTCCTATTTTGTGATGAGAAACATCTCCTGTTGTTGATTTTGCTGTGGATTTTTACTTTACATGTGATACTAAGCAGTTAAAAGGGCTACTTATCTCATGTTTCACCTTTACATACCACAACTTTCACTTTTTTATCACCTAAAATCATCAGTTGGTCACTTTCCAACAGCCTATTTCCTGCAAAGATATCAAACCTACCTTCAGTTTTTTTTTTTTTCAAAATGTTTATAAAGTAATTGATTTTTGGTATCATATATATTTTTTCCCGTACAATTTACTCTGAAATGCAGTTTCATGAAATTGATATTTTAAAAATGAACAAGGTAGTGTATTCACTTTCCTTGTAAGTTATGTGAATTGCACACAATTAATATTACATAACTTGCCTTACCTGTACAAATATCATTTAAATATTACTCTTCTATTGAAAAGTGCATTCACATGTACATGTCATTATACTTTTTACAATTTAGTTAAATATATTGAAACATTATCTTTCTTATTACCGGTATATGTTTTTTATAAAATGTCATAACAAAATATGCTCAAAACAAATTCAATACAAAATACTAAGTATGTGCTATGTCTGCAAATCTAAGGACAGAAGATATGAACACTTTCTTACTTTTTGTCAAAGTGCAGTTGAAAGCATCCTCCCAGAACTCAGTCAGCACTGAGGAGGCAGCAACCTCAGAGGGAGAGAGATCGAAAAGAAAGTCTTTTAGCCCTGGGGTCACTGATTGTTGTATGGCAACTCCAATGGCCCCTGCACAGAAACTGAAGGTGAGCAAGTATGGGTCTCCAATCCATCCCTCACTTCCAATCCACTGACGAGGCGGAGGAGGGTCTAGGGCCAGCTCCTCCATGAGGAACTTCATATCTCCTGATGATGCAAACGCCACCACAACAACAGCAGTGGCTCTAAAGAGATATTGGAAAGGATACAACACATCAGAAACCTCACATAAAGATAAAGAAAGATAACAATTGTAAAACATTAGTCATCCAGGAACAATGGTAGGGTTCAATATAATCATTGTATACTTGTAAAATATTTACAAAATATTTTCAGACAAAATCCATCTTTACAAATAACACAAAAAGAAAAATACAACAAAACACCTTCGGATCACATCAGCAACTCTTTTGATCTTGATGTGTGGGTCTGTCCGATGGAAGGCTTCAGAATACTCCACACATATCCCCTCTCTGAGCGCTGCGTCAAGAAAAGATGCCATGCCATAATTTCCATAATCAGAGTCGGAGCGCACTGCACCTATCCAATTCCAGCCAAAGTGTTTCACCAGTTTGGCCAGCCCATCAGCTTGGAACTGGTCACTGGGAATTGTTCTAAAAAACGTTGGGTGCTGCTGCTTGTCTGACAGACAGGCACATGTGGCAAATGGACTCACCTAAATCAATAATTAGAAAAAATTCAATCTTTCAATCAAATATCAATCCAAATTGAATCTCAATAAAAATATACAATAAATATAAATGTATATGTGTGTGTATAGGCAACAGTTTACCAGCGGAATATTGAAAGAACGGAAAATGCGAGAAATGCTGATGGATGGGGTGGACCCAGAGTCTCCGACCACAGCCATAACTCCAGATTGAGAGCAATTTTTACCTGTGTTGAATACAGGTTCCTGGCCATTTAAGAGCTGAAATGCTACCTGAACTGACATAGGTATTGCTAGGCATGAGTCATAGATCTGGTATCCAAGTTTAATGCCGGGCAGCAGCTCTGTGCTGTTATTTATCTCCTCAATGGCAAAGATCATGGTGCGTAGGAAACGCAGTACTCGAGGGTTTACACTGTACAGAAGGATTCAGTTGAGTGCTGTGACACAGTCAGTAAACTTCCAATTATATGCAATAAATTACTGTGACTAAATAAAACAAATATATATGTAAAATGCTACAATTTACTTAACAAAAAAATAGACATTTCAAATTACTACATGCAGCAAATTAAATGCTTACACCAAATTAAAATTATACATGAAATTCAGAAATACTTAAATAGATTAATAGTTTACAAATAGGAACACATATTTTCCACAAAATACAAAATCAAAGCATTTCCATTATTTATCTTGTTTTCACCTGTTGGTCTTACTAACCTCCCTGTGCATCTTGGAGACTTGGGCTTGGTGGTGTAGTTATAAATCACTGAATGAAGTTTAAAGTGGATGGAGAAAACACCTCCAATTACAAAGTCCCCATCCTTTGAGAATGCAGGCACAAGAGGTTTACCCTGCAATATACACTGTACTGAAGAAGCCTCAGCATTAATTCCAGCTGGATCCAGAGGATGTGTGGGATCGGGACTATGTTTCAGGGCATTTACAGAAACACCCAGACTAACCACTGACATCAGTTCATAAAAACTGACTGCTAACCTCAAGCCATTAAAGGCTGTCCAATTCTCCATTATTTAATTGGCTGCATTTGATTATGTGCTTACATATTTATAAAAATCCTCTGTTATATATCAGATGACCAGAGATAAAAGGTCTCCATTAGAGACTTACTGTACCTGCACAAGAAAAAAAAATGCTGCTTTTTTATACACTTACCAACATATAATGCTGCTGTTCTCTTTTAGGTTATCTAGAATTACCAAAAGTATTCGTATTTACAGAGTTATAGAGGGATGTTTAGTACTTTCATAAATGTTGGAGGTCTGCATACATTTTCCTAATTTGGTAGCTTTGCATTTTAAACTGGATAACTACAGATTTTGGTTATCCTTCCGAAACCATCACACTGTAGTATGCTCTGATTTGTGGCCTCTTTTTATGGTAAGAATTAGTGAGTTAAAGGGGAACACAGTTTTTTTTTTTTTTTTTTTTTACATTGGCCCTTGATTTTACGTTATTACATCATGTTCTACTCACCCATATTAGTTTTGTTTCAATTGGAGCTGTTCCAAGGATATTCTGTTTTGTTATATCCAAGTAACGTCTTCCTATGGAGAACGATTTTAAGGCACAAACTAAACTGTTCACAATTGATTCTGTATGGTACGGCAGCATTCATAACATGTAGGCGAATCACTGTCCCCCAGACATCTGCGTTTAAATTTTTTATATTTATATTTTTTTAAAACAAAGCAGAGTGTGTATAACCTCTCTACGCAAAGAATCCTGATCAGAAGAGGGCCATGATGACATCAGCCAAGGGCCCGCTAATGTTCTTGACAAACATGGTGCAGCAGACCTCATCAGATGCTCTTAAAGAAAACACAAACAGAATAGAATAGAACTTTATTGATCTCACAAGAAATAAAGAAATTTACAACAGAGTGGTTACAATTATTGTTGATCAGTTGAAATAACCAACAATAATGCTGTGATCATATCCCTTCAACATCTCCAACAGGAATTCAGAGGAGGCACTGATATAATCGTTATTGTTTTTGGGTGGATGGTAAATTACACCAAACAGTACTGGGTCAGAACAACCTATTTAAACTATTGAAGGAAGTAATCGCAAAGCTAGAAGAAAGAGATTAAATTTACAAAGCGTTGTTTCCAATTACAAACATTTTAATCACCAATGTAGTTCCTCCCCCATGGCTCAAATGTTTCTGAGGAGTCAAAATAATAGCAGCCTGTTGGTGAAATTTCCAATAGAGCAGCTGATTCAGACTTTGCCCAGCCATGTCTCTGTGAGATAGAGAAAGTCTAGATCATAGTAGCTGAAGTACTCCCGGAAAACCAGGCTTATCTTGGTTCGAGTTGGGGTGGGGATGTCACGTTGATGAGGGACCTACAGTAGTTCAGTGGCTTCTGATTCTGTAAATAAGCTCTCCGCTTATTTACAGAGAGCCGTTTAAAATTATTTCACACGCCACTTGGAAAACAAAAATATCCACTGGTTCCAAAACATCAAGACAAAAAATAAAAACACCAGTAACTGCTGCAGAGAATGCCAGAGAACCACTGGATTTCTCTAGATGGTCCATTGGCTTCACTACATATCCTTCACTCTTTTACCACTGTGGTGATGATGCTTCAGCAGCTAATCTGGGATTGGGAAAATTGTGTTGCTCCCGGCTTCAAAGGAAGCAACAATGTTTGCGAGCAACCTTAGATACAGTAATGTTTGGCATTCCTAAACCGATAGGGATTTGATTTCCCTTATGCCGATTGTCAGAATAAAGGTGTTGGATCACAATATTTTTTCTCATTTCTGAAGTCACTTCAGTTCTATACGTTGACAGAAATTTGTAAAATGCATTTGCACAGTATTAAAAATATTTCAAAAAGCTAGTTAACTCTGTTTTCCAAGATTGAAGATGTCTCGCTTCCCATCCAGAAAGCTTTCTGAATTCAAACTGTCTGGATTAGCGTTGAGTTCCAGGCTTTTATAGAAAAGCCCAACACAAGCCTTTTAATGGCTTAGTAAACATGCACAGTGAAGCTGGAAAACAAAAAAATAAATAAATAATAGGAGTCGTTGAGGTCATTATTGGCCTGCAATACCCGATACTGACCCATTTCTCTGAAAAGGCAGTCGTTAAGGGCCATTGTTGGCCTGGCTGATCTGGTGAGATATTTTGTTCCCCTGCATAGCGAAAGGGGTTGAGATGGGATTGGGAAGGAATCAACTGTACCGTTGCGTTGTAGGTTTGTGAGAGGTGAAACCTGAGTCCACCCCCTCTGTTTAAGGTTGTTTTTTCTCTTTAACATAAATGGCTTCCTTCACACCCCTTTCAAACAACCTGTCCTCTTTATCTAAAATGTGAACATTCTGGTCCTCCAATGAATGTCTTTTGTCCTTAAGGTATCTGTGGACAGCAGAATCTTGTCCAGAGGAGGTAGCTCGCCTGTGTAGAGCCATGCCTTTGTGGAGAGGTTTTTTGGTTCCTCCAATATAAAGATCAGAGCACTCCTCACTGCACTGAACTGCATAAACCACTCCGCTCATCTTAGGTTTGGGGTTTGGGGGTTTTGTCTTTAGGATGCACTATCCTCTGTCTAAGGGTCTTGTTAGGTTTGAAATGTACTGGGATTTTGTGTTTGGAGAAAATCCTCAAGTTTTTCAGACTCCAGCAACATATAGGAAGCTGGTGTTTTTGCGTTTAATCTTCTCACTGTTATGCTCTGCTGCTTGTCTTTTGGATTAAAAATAAAAGTATTAAAAATAAATTAACCATTGCAATCTATCACTATTATTTGATTTATGAAGCCTTATATCTCTGAACAATAAGAATAATGAAAAATTATCAAGTTAAACAAATTCAACAAGGATACAGTTTTATCAAAAACAGATATACCTTTGCCAACCCCCAACCACCCCTAATAATTCTTTGGTCCCTCTAAAGTAAAGATAGGATTACCAATACGCTCCATACTTAAAATGAATGATTTCTTTTGAGTGCAAAGTCTCAGGATTTTGGGTCTGAATATAAAAAAAAATGTCTGTGCATGCAAGCGTCTTTTTATAAAACAGAATTAATAAGATAAATTAAGGAATTGTTATTTCTCCTTACTTTTGATATTGTGAAGAAAGGTTTGTAGTGTTGCTACAGCATAGTGAGTTATGTTATACATGTTAAAAATCTTTATACATCTCAAACACTAGCTTTTGTTAGGAATCCAGTTTGTGTGGGTTGTGCTTTTGTTTGTTTTCCCTCCACCACCAGGTGGCGCCTGGTTCCTGTTGCCTTTATTCCCTTCTTCAAATCAAAGACACAAATTTCCCACTGAGCCTGAACTAACTGCAGAACCTCCCCTTCACTTTTCAGTCCCGGTTCAACGGTGTTCAGAGCAGCACTGGACTCCTCTCTACCAACTCACAATAAAACCTGTCAAACTTTTCCCTGGTCTCTCTGTTTGGTTTTCTGCAAAAAATCATGACAGCTTTCTATAATAATCAATTTTCTTGACTTGTTGTGGTGTTAATGACCACTTATGCCTTTCATTGGAAATACCTGTTAATGTAAGTTTTTTAGGCCCATGACATATTCTCCAGTTGATTTGGTAGATTTTTCACAGTCCTTTAACAAATAACTATATCTGGAGATTAAACCACATTGTCAATTGAGCTGTTGGAGGATCTTCACATTTGTCCCACAATAAAATTTTTTGCAGTCCCCAATTTTTAGCCTGTATATAGTTTTAGTTTTAACCATTCTCCCAACTTGTTAAAAAAATATTCTCACACCTTAATGTAGCTTGTACCCTGTTTAGGCTTGGGGGTTCTATTTTTGGTGTAATGTTTAAGGTTAGGTTATCTTTACTTTAACATATAACCGTTTTCCATGTTTGATGTGTTTTCACTATGACTTATGGTAAAGTTAAACTGACCTTTCTATAATTTCTTTTTTAAATTGACATTCGTCTCTTCTGGTTTTAATTCTTTCCAAACTCTCTTTCTAACTCAGTCATTGAACTAATACAAATATTAAACCAAACAGTTATTTTCAAAGATTTTTATTTAAGAAGAGATATTTGACACAAAGTGAAATTACACTGTAAAACTGACTGTAAAACATTTACTGTGGTTTGATTTTTCTTGATTCATATTTATTATTCCACTCTGAGTGCATTAAGAATTATTAGTCAAGAAGGATACCAGCATGACATTTTTTTTTTTCAAATTATACCAGAGAAGGAAACTATGGTTAACACTATGGTTGCCTACTTCAGTTATATCTCACAGTTTAAAAGCTTACGTTAGAGTGAGCAAAGCCATTTTGCATCATTTTTTAGCCCTATATATTATTTTCTCTCCAAATTGATGACATTGTATGATTACATTACATAAAATTGCAATAAATTCATAACATTTTTATATGACATCACATTTAAGTCATTGCCAAATCTTGTTTGTAAACCTTTAAAATATTATTTTTTGTTCATCATGTATTTCTTGGTGTTCTTCTCAGGCTGAAACAAAATAATGAAACATTTGGGGGCAAATATGCACAAAATCAGTCCATAACTGGAGGCCAGAATGGCAAATATCTCCACAGCCACAGTAAATTTTCCAGGTGAGCTGACATATGCTGGGATAAAGGTGATCCAGACGGCACAAAATATCAACATACTGAAGGTTATTAGTTTAGCTTCGTTGAAATTATCAGGTAGTTTTCTAGCAAGAAAAGCTAACACAAAACAAAAAACAGCCAACAGGCCAATGTAGCCAAGCACAGCCCAGAAACCCACAGCAGAACCTAATGCACATTCCAGGAGGATCTTTTCTTTGTATGTGGTTAGATTTTTCACTGGAAAAGGAGGACTCACAACTAGCCACAAGGTACATATTATTATCTGAACTAACGTGAGACACACTACAGTCAGTCTTTGCTGTAGAGGACCGAACCATTTCATTACATTATTTCCTGGAAGTGTAGCTTTAAAGGCCATTAAAACCACCAACGTTTTCCCAAGAACGCAGGAGATACAGAGAACAAAAGTGATGCCAAATGCTGTGTGCCGTAGCATGCAGGACCACTCAGAAGGTGCGCCAATGAAAGTTAATGAACATAAAAAACACAGAGTCAGAGAGAAGAGCAACAGGAAACTAAGTTCAGAATTGTTGGCTCTCACAACTGGAGTTGTCCTATGATAAAAGAAAACAGTTGCTGCTGTAATCGTCAAGCAGGCCCCACTAACAGAGAATACAACCAGGATGATTCCAAGCACTTCGTCAAAAGAAAGAAACTCCACAGGTTTAAGCAAACAAGCATCTTTCTTTGTATTAGGCCAGAATTCTTCATGGCAAAGGAAACAGTCAGGAGAATCTAGAGAAAATACCCACCCAAAAAAAGGATTTTAGTTTGGAAATGTTCCAAAAGACAGATGTGCATAAAAAGAACATGGTCTACCTGTGATATTACTGATCTCTCCCTCAGGACAGAGTATACAATCATAGCAGCAGATGGGCTTTCCTTTCTGCAAAACCTTGCGACTTCCTGGAGGACAACTTTGAGAGCACACTGACACTGGTACCTGTAGGAAAGACAATATCAAAATATTAGCTCAACTACTGTTGCACTCAACAAGTCATTTTTTGCAGTTCTTATCATTAGGTTCCTTACTTGTGTGCCACCATCTAGCCAGGTTAAGTTCCTGTTTATACGGAACTGCTCTCCCATTGGCAGTGATGCATCGTAGTACCCCACTGTAACCAGCTCCATAATTCCACTATCACTTTTCTGCCAGTTTACAAGCTCATAAAAAGCCACAGGGTCACCTTTACTATCAAAAGAGACATGATATCCATTTCTGGTGAAGTTGACCTTCTTTAATTCAGTAAAAACCTGTGTGTTAAGAAAGAAACACACTGGTAAAATAATTAATAGCCTTACAGATACAATCAAAAGTTGTCAGATTCACTTATTACTTAAACTGACATGTTTAGGCTCCAGGTTGAAGTATTTGTCACAGTAAATGGTTGATTTGTTCCCCATACATACTGCACTATGAATGGCATAAGCTATTGCATAAACAGCCTTATAAACCATATTAGTCGCCCTTAACTGCGATGTTTCAGTGTAAGGATTCTTAAGCCGTTTAATATCTTCAGTTCCATCACATTCTCGTTTGTTCAGATCTGCATCTAAAAACAAAAACATCTAACTTTGAAAGATATTTTGCACACACATGGTAACATATATCTTTTATCACAAATCTTTAAGAATTCAGAGGTTAAACATTCAATCTAGAATATGTCAAATATTGCATTTCACATATACCTGTGACATCTTAGCAAACACTAAATGGCAAAAATACTCACCGATCAATTGTACACAGATTAAGACTACTTCACTGCTTTTATAAATTAAAATTTTAATTTATTATTGAAAGTACACTCGCTTAGAAATGTAATTGCAATATCTTTCTTTATAAAAATGCATAGTATGAAGTGATAAAACAATTAAATGACTGAATGAAATTTTGATATATTTATTGTTGCATGTTTTTTAAAAGAAAAAAAAATCTCACTTTCTGTCAAACTGCACTCAAAAGCCTCCTCCCAGAATTCAGTCAACACTGAGGAGCTAGTGACTTTAGAGGGAGAGAGATCCAGAAGAAAGTCTCTCAAACCCGGGATCACAGATTGCTGAATAGCAACTCCAATGGCCCCTCTGCAGAAACTGAAGCTCATCAAGTGTGGATCAGTAACCCAACCCTCACTTCCAATCCACTGACGAGGTGGAGGAGGGTCCCGGGCCAGCTCCTCCAACAAAACCTTCATATCACCAGATGCAGCAAATGACACAACAACAATGGCTGTTGACCTGTGTTTATAACAAGAATTTTTTATATCTTAAATATATGAATATATATGCGCAATTTCAAGCTTATTCAAAAATATAGATTTCAGAGCTGGGTATCTGTGTTTCAGTTAAACTAATATTAAGAGAATGGCAGAAGACCAGAATGTCATATTATATTTCTAATCTGGCTATAAAGAAAGTCTTCAAATGTGCAAAAGCAGAAATTAACCAACCTTCGAATCATATCAGCAACTCTTTTTATCTTGTAGGGGGCATCGGTCCGATAGAAGGCTTCAGAATACTCCACACATATCCCCTCTCTGAGCGCTGCGTCAAGAAAAGATGCCATGCCATAATTTCCATAGTCAGAGTTGGAGCGCACTGCACCTATCCAAGTCCAGCCAAAGTGTTTCACCAGTTTGGCCAGCCCATCAGCTTGGAACTGGTCACTGGGAATTGTTCTGAAAAATGTTGGGTGTTGCTGCTTATCTGACAGACAGGCACATGTGGCAAATGGACTCACCTAAATCAATAAAATAAAAATAAAAAAGTTCTTTTGTAAAAAATAAGAAAACAGTGCTGGCTCAGACACAATAACATTTCTTTCCTACCAGGGGGATGCCAAAGGACCGGAAGATGCGCGAAATGCTGATTGATGGGGTGGATCCAGAATCACCAACAGCAGCCATCACCACTCCAGACTGAGAACAGTTACTGTTCTTGTAATATACAGGGTCCTGGCCATTAGACAGTTGAAATGCAATGTGTGCAGACACTGGAACTGCTATGCAGGAATCATAAATCTCATATCCAAGTTTGATGCCAGGCAGTAGCTTAGAGCTATTATTTATCTCATCAATTGCAAAGATCATGGTACGAGAGAAGCGCAGAACTCGAGTGTTTAAGCTGCACAAAATCAGAGTTTGTATTTTCAAAGAAAGAAGAAAACCTCACATCAAATACTAAATGGATAAACAGAGTTCACCGTAAAAAGGAAAGCAGCAACTCAAAACATTTAACAGTTGGTAACATAATTCATTTGTAGTTTCACTACCATCAACAGCACACACACACACACACACATAGTATTATATGATAATTTTTGCAAAGGATTCCAATTAAAGAATACTGATTCACAATATTTTAGAAATTGTGACTACATCTTTCTGTATATTGGATCCTGTTTTTTGTAAGTCATGGAAATGCAGTATAAGAGATGATGATAACAGAAAAGCCAATTTATCCCATTATAGGTCTAAACAAATAGCAAAAGCTACAGCCAAATCTTCACATTTGTATTTGTTCCCCAACACAGATGTTTTCTCCCTCTTTATACTAACCTCCCTGTGCATCTTGGAGGCTCAGGCTTGGTTGTGTAGTTATAAATAACTGTATAAAGTTTGTAATGTATGGAGAAAATGCCTCCAATAACAAAGTCTCCATCCTGTGAGAATGCAGGCACACGAGGGGTGCCTTGTAGGGTACACCGCACTGATGAAGGGTTAGCACTGAGACCAGCCCGAGACAGAGGAAATGTAGGCGCTGTCCTCTGTTGCAGGCTATTAAAAGAGACACCAGGACAAACCACTGACATCAGCTCCAACAAAATGGCTGTGAATCTCAGGGCACTAAAAGCAGCCCAGATCTCCATTCCTCAAGGGTCTGTAGAAGTGTGTGCATGTTTTACAGGTTTTTAAACCTTCTCTATTACATGTCAGGTGATCATTTATCTCAAAATAGGACACTCTCATCTGTTTTCTTCTATGATTCCTACCTCACCTTTTACAATTCCACATTAAATATTTTATGTTTTTCTTTTACTCATTTGTTTCACAAGTAAGACTTGCACATTTTACAGGCGCTGGTCATAAAATCAGGATACCATAAAAAGTTTATCGTTTTTCAGTAATTCCATTCAGGGAAACCAAAAAAGGAAATTAGTTTATTAAAAGGTCATGCTTTAGTGTCTTGCCCTTCCAATCACATGAATAGGGAGGCAAAGGGTAAGATAAAATTCAAGAAAAAAAGTGCACACGCAACTGTGATACTCGCACTCTGGAGAGGATTGTGAAAAATCACCACTGAAAAGTGGACTGCAGCTGGCAACAGTGCTTCAATGACTGCCATGCACAGATGTATGCAAGACATGGGTGTCAGAAGTCGCATTAATTGTGTCAAGCCACTCTTGAATCAGATACAGAATCAGAGGTTTCTCACCAGGGCTAAGAATTAAGTTGGTGGAGTGGCGGCCTACTGGTTAGTAGGGGTGGAACGGTTTATGAGCTACTTTTTCTCATAAGCGAAGCGTGTTCACTCCAGGACAGCAGGTGGCGATACTGTGACCAAAGGCAACCACCAGTAGTAAACAAGAAGAAGAAGCAAAGCAGCGTAGCCGAGTGAAACAGAAAAAAAATCAGTTGTTGTGGAGAATTGTGTGGGTATGGCGAGTGGGGAAAAACAGGAGCACTTTATAGGTCTGCTGTATGGGACCACTTTACATTCAGAGTGACCTACGATGAAGGCGGAAAGAAAGTCGTGGATAAAAGTGCAACAGTGTGCAAGCATTGACCAACACGTATTGTGTATGCTAAAAGCAACATGACCAACATGTCAGCTCACCTGCAGAGAAATCATCCCAGTGAGACAGTTGGCAGTGCAAGGAGGAGAGGGAAAGAGTCGACAGTAAAACTTTAATTCCCAGCAGCTTTTAAACAGACATACGATGATGAGTCAGAAAGGGCGAAATGCATAACTAAAGGAGTGGGATATTTCATCGCCAAAGATATGCAGCCTTATTCTGTAGTGGAGGATTCCGTTCAATGATTAAAGCACTGGAGCCACGATATAAAATCCCCTCCCGCAAACACTTCAGCAACACGCTAATTCCCGCACTTTATGAAGAGACCCGACAAAGAATTGTGAAAGAGTTGTCTGACACGGCCTCTGTAGCGCTAACTAGTGATGGATGGACCTCCAGAGCTACTGAAAGTTTCCTGACTGTGACTGTCCATTTCAGTACCTCAGAATGGGAGATGAAAAGCTCAGTTTTATAGACACGCCCCTTTTATGAGAGCCATACTAGCAAGCATCTCTCTGACGCACTGACAGAAGCAGTGACAGAATGGAAGTTGCACAGGGGCAGCAGCAAAATCCCTGTTACTACAGACAATGCAAAAAATATAGTGAATGCAGTAAATGCAACAGCTGGACTGGGGCCACAAATTGGCTGCTTTGCACATACTGTTAATCTTGCAGCCAAGAATGCAGTCTCAATAAGTCAGGTATCCCGGCCCCTGGGGAAGATGAGGAAAGTGGTGACATTTTTCCATCGGAGCCCACTACTAACAAACTTCCTAGCAGACATGACCCTGAATCTGCTGCGACTGCAAACTTTCTTACTTTCTTTTTCTTTTAATTTCTTCTTTCTTTTTTGTGGGCGTTAAACAGCAGCTAGGTTAATGCCACGATCAAAGACATCTTTTTATGCAGGCCAGGTGCCTTGTTACCCCCTTAAGGACACTGGCTTGTGCATAATTTCATGGCCATTACACGATTGTGCGTTATGAACACGTTAGGCTGTCGTTGGATACAAGTTCTGGACTCATAATGAATACTCTTTTTATACGCCCAAAATTCCGGTGTTTTACGAGATTCTGGGACGTCAGGCATATGTTAAATCGGCAAGGTGAAGGGGCCCTAAGTCTGTGGTCAAAATGTTTTTTTCTTCTTTACTACCTGCTTTTATGATGTTTCCCTTCTTCTTTATTGTTTAACCCTTGCAAAGCACTTTAATTTGTATTTGTACTGAATTATATGGAGCTAAATTGGGGCTATAAAATTAGTTTGAACAAAAAAAAAGATACAAATTTAAACAAAGTTTATTCTTAAAAGAAAAAAAAATATTTCTAGCTTGAAGATTCTACTGCTTATTCCATCAGGGTCATTGTTGGGGCTGGTGCCTATCTCTGGCAGACTCTCAGCAAAAGGCAAGGTACACCCTGGACATTCCTCCAGCAATTACAGTTATAAACATTTCACAGATAAACATTGGATTTACCCTCGATTTGAATGATTTATCAATTTGCTACATACTTCCATTTCTAGTTATGTAATGTATTCTTGACCTTCCAGTAAGATTACACAATCAAGGGCACCACATACACGCAGGAACATACAACGATGCACAGACACACTCACTCACACCTAAAGACAATTTAGAGAAGACAATTAACCTAACAGTAATGTTTTTGGAATGTGGGAGGGAATCAGAGCACCCAGATAATACCCACGCAAACTCCATACAGAACGATAACAGACCAGGTATCAAACCTGCAACCTTTTTGCTGCAAGGTAACAGTGCTACCCAGTGCCCAGCTGTGCAGCCAGAAAAACATTTAAATCTGAATTAACAAGTTTTTTTGTTTTTTTTTCAAAATTGCTGGGATTTTTTTAAAACTCACAGATTTTCTTTTTTTTTTTTCATCTTCAAACGTATTGTTCTTTTTTGGCATGAGCATGTAGGGTGGGGCCTCAGTTGACAGAGTTGAATAATGTCTCAACAGCTCAAAACAGAGGCCCAATTTCAAACCGGCCCCTAAACACTAAGCATTAACCCTCTGTTTGCCCGCTACCATGCAGGGTCCACCACATTAAGTGCCATCCCAAACCACGTAGTGGTTAAGGCTAGTGGACAGTCAGGCCCTTCAATAGCTAGTCTGCACAAGTGAAGGCTAATTGGAATTTGGCAGCAGGTGTAACAGCGACCTAATGGTGGAGGAAACATGTTCCTCCAATGTAAGGTCCCCTGGCTTCCTGCATCTTCTTCATGCTGACAGAAAATCACAAGCTAGGTATATGAAAAAATGTAACTTATTCCAAAAGGGAAGATCCTCTTTGAAATAGTTTTATCTGACTGTATACATTTGTTTTTAAGAAAAGGGCAAATATTTGATAATATGTCAGTGACATGGGGTGTCACTGTGTTGCCATAGCAATGACTGCCTTCCTTTTCCATTAGAGAGAATAAGCCATCCCATTCTCGTTTAAATGTTCATGTTGGAGATTTCCCACGCTCGCATGCAATATCATCCATTGCCTCTGCTCAGCTCCTGTGCGCTATATGTTGCTAAAATTTACACACTATACTGTAGTTTTAAGTCTGAATTCACTGCCAGCAGCCAGGCCTTAATGTTTTACAACTTTTCAGTCAAAGCTGCCCGTCACTCATTTAAAAAAATAACTAACATCTTGATTGAAAGTGCCAAGGGCAACTCAGCATTAAAGACGGCTACAGAGACTGGAGTTAGAGATCAAACATGAAAAAGATTTGAATTACTGGCCTATATTTATTTAAAGAGCACAGAGAGTAATAATGGCACAGGTCATATATATGCCAAAATTGAAAAATGAAATTTTATCTAAATACCAGCATTGTTGAGTTAAATCAAATGTTAAAAAAGAGCTTAGAACAATTTTTAAATAAAAGTTTTATTTAATTTTGTTTGTCATATCATTGGCTATTTGTCAAAAAGGCGACAACAGGTTAAATTAGAAGTCATAGAATTGCAACACAATAAAAAGATATACTTAGATTTTGCCCCTGCTAATAAGGAAGGATTTCAACATTTTTGACAACATTAGTAAACAAGTGTACCTGACATCAACTTTATTCCATCAATTATTTTGTAAAAAACCTAAATTAATTTTTATTCATTACATGTTTTTTTGTGTTCTTTTCTGGTTGAAATAATATGATGAAACACTTTGGAGCAAATATACACAGTATCAGTCCAAAACTGGAGGCCAAAATGGCAAATATCTCCACTGCAACAGTAAATTTTCCAGGAGAGCTGACATATGCTGGGATGAAGGTGATCCAGACTGAACAGAATATCAACATGCTGAAGGTGATCAGCTTGGCTTCATTGAAATTATCAGGTAGTTTCCGAGCAAGAACTGCTAACACAAAGCAAAAAACAGCAAGTAGGCCGATGTAGCCAAGCACAGCCCAGAAACCAACAGCAGAGCCTAATGCACATTCCAGGAGGATCTTTTCCTTGTAAGTGGAAAGATTTTTTACTGGGAAGGGAGGACTTACAACCAACCACACAGTGCATATTATTACTTGAATAAATGTAAAAGACACTACAGTTAATCTTTGTTGTGGAGGACCAAACCATTTCATTACATTGTGCCCTGGGAGTGTTGCTTTAAAAGCCATTAAAACAACTATAGTTTTGCCAAGAACACAGGAGATACAGAGAACAAAGGTGATGCCAAACGCTGTGTGCCGCAGCATGCAGGACCACTCAGAAGGTGCTCCAATGAAAGTTAAGGAACATAAGAAGCACAGGGTCAGAGAGAAGAGCAGCAGGAAGCTCAGCTCAGAGTTGTTAGCTCTGACAATTGGGGTCGTTCTGTGACGAAAGAAAACCACTGCTGTTATGATGGCCAGGGAGGCCCCACTAACAGAGAATGCAGCCAGGATTATTGATAGAATTTCCTTAAAAGAAAGAAACTCTACTGGTTTGGGTAAACAAGCATCTTTCTTTGCATTTGACCAGAACTCCCTGGGGCATGGGTAGCAATCTGGTGAATCTGAAAATCAAGTCAAAATGGTCTGTTATTACTTAAATATTTGATGATTCAGGTCTACCAAAAAAAGTACATTATACTCTACCTGTAATATTACTGATTTCTCCATCAGGACATGGTATACAGTTATAGCAGCAGATGGGTTTTCCTTTCTGCAACACTTTACGAGTCCCTGGAGGACAACTCTCTGAGCAAACTGACACTGGTACCTGTAAGACAAATAATGTCAGTGTACTCTACAAATTCAACCACTGCTATGGCTATGGCTCATAAACTTACTTGTGATCTACCCTGCATCCAAGTTATTTTTCTGTTTATATGGAACTGCTGGCCCATTGGCAGGGTTGCATCATAATAACCCACTGTTACTACCTCAGTACTTCCACTCTCTGTTACTTGCCAGTTAACCACCTCATATGCAGCTACAGGTTCCCCATTAGCATCAAAGGATACATGATAACCATTTTGAGAAAAATTTACCTTCTTTAATTCTGAATAAATCTAAAAAACAAAGAAAAAATAGCAAAAATTTGTTGAATTGCTTTACTAGAGTTAGCAATGAAATAAAAACTCTTAGTTTTGTTTTATTTGGACTTACCTGCTTTGCATTCAGTTTGAGGAGTTTGTCACACTTAGTAGTGACATTTTTTTCTTGACAGAGTGCATTGTGAAAGGCATGTGCTATTGCATAAGCAGCCTTATACACCATATTAGTTACTCTTAGTTGGGATGTTTCAGTGTAAGGGTTTTCCAGCCTTTTTATATCTTGAGTTCCATCACACAATTTTTTGCTTCTAACAGAACCTACTGTAAAGATACAAATAATTATTTATTTTCAAATGATACACATGATGTTCCACAATTTAACCTAACTGAAGCATCAATTACACTGTGTTATTTTCTGAAAAAAAATAAAAACATAAAAATCAGAACAGATATAACTGTAAATACCAGTACCTGTATTAATCATAGAGATATTTTGTGTCTGGTCATATAGCAGCTATGGACTTTGTAATTATATGAAATAATATCTGAAAACGCCTCAGGAAAGTGTTCTCACTTTTTCTTAAGCTGCAGTTGAAAGCATCCTCCCAGAACTCGCTAAGTAGAGGGGAGGCAGCCACTTCAGAAGGAGAGAGATCCAGAAGAAAGTCGCTCAGACCTGGGATGACAGACTGTGGGATAGCAACTCCAATGGCTCCTGCACAGAAACTGTACTTTACCATGAAGGTATCAGTCACCCAGGACTCGCTGCCAATCCACTGGCGAGATGGTGGAGGATCCTGAGCCAGTTCCTCCAACAGGACCCTCATATCTCCAGAGGCAATAAATGCCACAATAACCATAGCAGTTGACCTGTGAGATCATGAAAATATTAAATAATTTACCCAACCCTTCTACATCATATGCAGCCTACTGTACACTTTAGGCATGCATAAGAGTATTGGCACATTAAACCCTAATCTTTGGGTCTCCCTTACATGTTTCAAAATACTGTTTAGACAAAAAAACATCACCTTTGTATTAATTTCAGAGGGGCAAAATATTTTTGTGAAAGGGTAATCACACAAACAAAATCAGATAAATGGAACAACAGAGACCTGCGGATTGCATTGGCGACTCTTTGGATCTTCCTGCTTGGGTCAGTCCGAAAGAAGGATTCAAGGTACTCCACACAGATACCCTCTCTGAGAGCTACATTAAGAAAAGATGCCATTCCACTATTTCCATAATCAGAATCTGAGTTGACAGCTCCTATCCAAGTCCATCCAAAGTATTTTACCAGCTTGGCCAATGCATCAGCTTGAAACTGGTCACTTGGAATCGTTCTGAAGAAATTTGGGTACAAATGCTTATCTGAAAGACAAGCACAAGTGGCGTAGTGGCTCACCTAAAACAAAAGATTACACAGAATGATTTTTCTTTAGCAAGGGGAATAATACATTTTTTGGAACATTAACTTCAATTAATTGACTATTTACCTGAGGAATGTTAAAAGATGCCAGTATCTGTGACATGCTAATGGATGGTGTTGATCCAGATTCACCAACAGTAGCCATTACCACACCAGATGGAGAACAGTTTACGCCTTTGTAAAACATAAGGTCATGTCCATTTGTCAGTTGAAATGCCACATGCACAGCCACAGGCACAGAGGCACATGAATCATAGATCTGATAACCAAGTTTTATGCTGGGCAGCAAATCTGTGCGGTTATTTATCTCTTCAATGGCGAAGATCATTGAACGGGAGAAGCGCAATTCCCGAGCATCAATGCTTGCAGGGAAAAAAAACAACTTTAAAACAAAATACAAATACAAGACCTTTCCTGCAATAAAAATGTGTTTTTCATTTACTGCAATGCATAAGGGATTCTGATCTGTTAACCAAATCAGGGGTCAAAATGTTTCCAAAAGCATAGAATTAGACATCAATACAAATCTTAGGGAAAATTTCAGTGTGATGCCTAGTAAAAGTCAACATTTAAATTACCATGTTAAGCATATAGTTTGAGTACCAAACTGGTAGTCAACCAACATACATTTTTGTTAAGGCAAGAAAACCCTCTAATAGCTTAT